GAGTCAAACAAAAAGAAAACAAGAGAAAAACAAGAGCATGCGAGCATGCACACTTAGGAGCGTCCAGTTTCGGGCGAGCGTCCAAACTCTACGGGACACCACGAAAATCAGGTCACGTGACACAAGGAGCCATTTTGATTCCACCTAAGCAGCAGCTTTTCATTTTCCGTGAGCGTATTCCGTACTTTTCTGCTATTAGTATGTAAAATAAATTGTCATTATGACTGGTTGCTGCGCCTTTGGGTGGAGTAATAGATCAGAGCAGGGATACAAAACGTATAGGTTCCCTGCAGATCCCAAAGGGAGAAAAATTTGGGTGAGTAAAGTCAGTCGCAAAGGATGAAACCAACCTCATCATCGCGTCTGTGTGAGGTAAGTACAGTGTGTGTAGTCATGTCAAGATTATAATATCATTAATAAATTTGAACATTTTAGGCGGGCTCCAGTAATGAAATTTTATGATGGGAACAATAACAGTTTCCATAAGCAACATGTGTTAGAGTCTTAGACTTCTAATTCTGTCAAATTATTGTGTGAAATTTGGAGTGTAGATCTATACGAATATGGCTGTGCTAATTTTTGCCTAAGAAGAAAAGAAAACCCACCCTGTTTAATTTTTCTATTGAAAAGAATAAACATATAACATAAGATAATGCGACATGTACAAATGTGCAAATGTGGACAGCTCTTGTATACTTGGGCCAAATTTACCAAGTAGATTACAACCGAGTAATGCAGACGACTGTCCATTGTCCATAGTAGATATCTAGACATATTGGTGTGTGTGGGTTAAATTAATGTAATTGTGTAGAAATCTGCCAGTTTAATGTGTGACCTACCCTTTTCAAAATTTTTACCAAATATTGATTGAGAAAAAAAGGTAACATAATGAATAATGAATTACTGAAATTTCTGTACAGAGAATTACATGTATTTATTCTATGTTGACTGTTTTTATCTCCCTCTCTCTGCTTGCAGAAACAATTTGATGACCATCAATTTGAAAAGGAACGAGTTGATGGGAAGAAAAAGTTGAAGTGTTCAGCAGTGCCAACCATCTTCTGTCATCGCAGATCACCACAAATGAGAGTCTCCGAAGAAACAACATTTCACATGCACTTCCGAGGCTCAGAAAAGTGTACCCCTGGATCCTGGCTGCTCGGAGCACAGCTACTGTCTCTCTGACTTTCTCTTGTAAATGAAGATATATAGTTTCTTGTTCTGTTCAAGATTACATTCCAGCTATTTTAGACAGTATAA